TTTAATAAATCTTATTCTATCCTAATAAAAAGTAAAATAATAAAAAATTGTCATGTTTAAAGTAACGTACCAGTAACAAAATGATGCCGTACAAATAGACATAATTATTATTTTCTAATTTATTAATTTATTATTTATTAATAAGGATAACAATATAACGTATTATTTATGAAGCTAAACCAATCTTCACTCTAACAAAATAAAATTGCACAGTAAGTGGCATCAGGTTAGGATATGTTGTGGTTTAAAATTCGTGAGCAAAAATCCGATTACTGTCCTTAAAGGTACGGTTGTGTTGGTCCGTATTGATTAATAACATCCTTGATGCGGTAATAAACAGAACAATCAAAAACGAATTAAAGATTAAAATAGTGTTACAACGCCGCCCACTCGTGTGTATCGTACATTATGTCCTGTCTGTTAGAACTTCCCTAATAGTGTACCGGTACTTATTTCAAGCGGCTAAATGGATTTTATTTGTTGATTTTTTTTGTCACGGAGCGTTTACGCACTCGGCGACTGGTCGTTGGCCATTTTTGTCAGGCTCGTGAACTCAGGATTGTAGTGGCTGGGAATCCAGCCGCTTTTGTCATAGCATAACACAATTCTTTGTATCGTGTTATTAAGTCAATTTGTCTTTGTGAGGCCTTGTCCTTTTATCTTCAAAAAGACTCAGTCAGGAACGTCACTCCCCCAAAAGGTTGATTCTCAGTCTTGACTATAGTAATAATAGAGTACCGTAGTCGTTTGAATGTATTTACCCGAAAATGAGAACCACATCTCAAGCAAAACATTACCTACTAAAAGTATAGTAGATCGTCAGAATATTCGAAGTGTACTTTCATTGCTTCCGTAATAGCTACAATTTCAAGTGTAATTTTCCTACTGGTAAGCCAACTTCGGCATACACCTACGGACATGCGCGACGACAGTGGGCGGTGATTTCAATTAGCACTTTCTGAGTAAATAAATAAAGACCAGTGTATTAATGTCTGATATTTGAATGAACCGACTTTATAGAGTCAGCGAAGTCTCCCTTTAATAGGTTTAGGCCTAATTTATTAAAATGAGTCACTGGCTATATGCAAAGCAAACGCATTTTCGCGTCCATCGGCGGAATGATCTAATGCTCAACTGGCGCAAGCAGACAGCAATTATTGTTGCGTAGTTGTATCAGCTGTGTTCAAACTTTCATAGCCACCGTAGTCATCGATGTGGCCGCCCCAGGCTGATAGGCATATGCCTATACTTTTTTATTTTGTAAGAACCTGCATATCCTCCGACTCAAGTAGAAAAATTAAAATTATAATAGAAGAATGGAAGCAAGGAAAATGTATGTCATAAAAAAGCCTATCCGCGAAAAGTTTATAGTGTACCAGAAAGAGCCTGAGAATATTGACAACCTATGTACCCATTGTCAATTTATATTGGAACGAATTTGTTTTTAAGGTTGAGATTTCATCTCTATATGATAGACTCCTTGTATTATAGTCTTGTTTGGGACTTTCAATCTTATGTCTTGACTAGATTTGGCCTATGCATGTAATGATGAGGCGGATCCAGAGAAAAATGCTGGCAGGCACATGCAACGTGCGAAGCTTTCCGTCGGCCCCATTTATTTCTCCTCTTTTTTTTTTTTTTTTTTTTTTTTTTTTGCGATTGTAACCCCTTCCAACCGGATCCTCCCCTTGGATGGAATTATATGAAAGCTGAGATGTGAAGCACACTTGTAGGCCTACCGGTCCGACAGGGAGATTTGAATATTTGAGGCTGATAAAAAGCGGTTAAAATGAATGAATTTAAACACATGCGTTCGATTTCATAAATTAGATGGTGCTATTTATGCACATGATGCATTCCATCTAACATAGATCGCCACAAATTGAAATGTATATTGTGAAATTATTATCATAGTTCGTGAATTGATCACAAGTTGAACGATGCGTTCTCAGCATTCATGAAATAGTATTCTGATTAATCGTATTATTAATGTTTTTTCACTTGTGATGGAAATATTGGTGAGGTGTGAATTACTGAAGAACGTAACCTGCAATTAGCAGCCGCTCATGACGTGCCGCTCTAATTTAAGAACAATATAAATAAACGCCATGCTATAAATATTTGTCTACTTTTAACTATGTTCTGTTGCGAATGACTAATTTAGGACTGTCCAGCAGTGGTGCCGGAAAATTGCCGACAAGGGTCCGGCATGTCCGACGGAGGGGGACGACGGCCCGGAATAAAAAAAATCCCTGGTTGGGTTGTTATGGCTAGTATTGGTCCAAAATGTGATTTTAGACCACAATATTAGGGATTGGCAATCAAAATAACGTCATTTGGATAGTCAAATTATTATTATTATTTTATTTTTGATCCGACGACGACGGAGCAGTGTGCAATGGATACAAACGGTAATTGCATGGGCCAATACACATCCATACACGAGATGCGACGAGGATACGTAGTAAAGAAAATGAAATAGGGCCTAATATTAATATAAATAAATCCAAAAAGCACAGACTAAAAATTTACCAAAGCAACCCAACCATGCACTTGAATCTACCCAGGCAAAGGACAACCGAATCCACCAAGGCAGGTGTCAATCCACCAACCTGAATCCACCAAAGTGATGCACAAACAAAATCCAATTAATAAAACGCGCCTAAATTCTACCAAAAATTCTACTTCAAAAGCATGCCCACCAACCAACAGGCACCCTAAATCCACCAAAAACCCTAAACGCAATGGAAAAATCTATCAAGGTCCAGCCTCCTCCCAAACCAGAATCCGGGCAGGCCAATCACACAATCCAAATCAACCAAAATCCCGAATACGATCAGAATGTGCATCCGAATCAACGATTTAAACCGAATCCGCCAACGCACGACCAGAGTTTACACACTTTGAACACACTTTCGAAAGCGCTTGTCAGAGACTTGCGGTTAAACAAAATACTAAACCGTTTAAATAGTATAATGTACCGGATTTTATTTTGTAAGCAATATAAGTTAAAATTGTAAAAGCAAACATAGAAAAAAGGACTGATTAATAGGTTGTTGAACGTAAAAGAATTCTTTCTTTTGATTTGTATCTTGAGAGGAGGAGTTGATGCACTGGCTTATACCGTCCGACATTCATCATAACAATAAGCCACAATATACTTGTTAACTCTAGTCGCTTTCCTTCAGGTGTCCTGTTTATAACTTGCCGCTTTCTGTGCTTCCATTCACTTCATGATTAAACAATCGGTCATTAAATCATGCAGGTACATTTTATGTACACTCAATGGTTTAGCTAATAGGCCCATTGTACCATGAACCCAACACCATTCGACACGTAAACCAGATCAAACTTTGTACCGATCGAGTATGACATGAGGTCTGTCTCTTATACACATCTAGATGTGTATAAGAGATATGCCTAGCCCTATATTTATATATTGCTATCATTGCTGTGTAAGTTACGGGCTTAGATTACGTTTCCTGGCTGTGATGGGAATCTTCATATCTAACAGCAGTGTTTACGTTACAAAATTTTATCGAAAAGACAAATAACAGCTAAAGGTTGGTTATTGATTCCATAAATAGACGAATGTTATTTGGGTGTTTGATTATTCTTTTGCCGGGTCGGTCATATCGCACACAGTGACCAATGAACGTGCATCCAGACCGTTGGTTCATATTGCAAGACTAACGTCCGGGTATATTCAGTTATGTTGTCACCCATATCTTCTCCCGTCGGTCAACATCAAAAAGCGATTTATTTACCTTGGTACGTGCATAATTGACATTCTTCATGCAACTTAACAATACCCGGCGCAAGGTTCGATCTCGCGAACTGATGATCGCCATGACCTTCTAAATGATATTACAATGGAACAATTCCGTGTCTTCGGCTATCGCCGTGACGTCACGTACGAAATGCTTGTGGAAGAACTCGTGTGTAAGGTACGTCGCCACATCAGAGAGTAAGTTCCGATGTCGAGTAAGTCTGAAATCAACCGGAATGAAGTTAGGTCACTTCAATGTTCTGTACAACTGAAAAGAAAAAGCTTTACCACGCCCACAATTGCGGAGGCACTTTGTGTTAAAAGGATAAATTTGACGAAACTCATCATTTCGTCAATCATACTTTACTGGGATTCGTCGCGTCGTGAGACAGTGCATGCTTTCATGATTGATTGAATTTTCCGAAATCAGCATTGATCGGATAATAATACAGAGACTTAAAGGTGTTATCGTACTAATTTGGTTGTCACATCGTTATCGTTACAGCGAGTAAGCAATAATAAACACGTTTGTTGTGAGATATACGAAAGCTACTATAGCGCCCTCTCAATAAGCAGTATGAATTTCCATATGTGAGTATGTTAGCATGCTTGTTTTTTTGCAAATTGTATTGTTTCTGTATAAACATATAAGTGTATATAGAATATGAATATCAATGCAGTGAATTGTACTAAATCAAAGTTGCATCAAATTTTAAGGGTTTATCCGAAAGCATGCATCCTTACTTTAGTCCCAAAATAGGCCTAGTTTATGTAAGCCTATACCGTAACCGATAACTTAAATTTTGATTTAAAATATAGAAAAATTAATTTATATAAGAATTTGATTAAACCTCTGTATGCTATATTATCCGTCCTAATAGGTGCTAATATGCCTTATATCTGCTCAGTATCGCTTCCCGTAGGCTAAAATTTAATACATTTTTAAAATATAAATTTCATCTCTTAGTGAGATAAATATGACTGATATTTTTATGAATAATGAATAAGAGTCTATTATATATGTCTATGCCTACTCATAGTTTGATGAACGAACCATTTTAATTAGCCAGTATTTGGATTTCGTACTAAAAAAAATGAGTTTAAAAATTGTGACCATTCAAAATTGAGGATTGGAATAGACCTTACTATCATTTAGAGATATACAACTCATATGCAACGCATACACAATTAGAATTTTAGTGAAGTTGGTTTATATACGAATGTGATTACATGCTATGGTCCTAATAAGTGCTTAATAGGCTTTAAATTTGCTCAGAATCAGAAATGTTAATACATTTTTAAAATTAAAATTAGAGTAAAAAGAATTATACAATTACACTACACAAGTCTATTTTGTAACTTCATTTCAGAAACACTAGGGCCCTAATATACCCATCTAACGACAATTTAATAGGCCTTATACACTCAATAGGCCTACTAAATGGCTTATATTCCATGACTTTGTTTTATGCAACGCATCACATTATTGTGAATGAACAGTAAACTCGGTTAAAATCATCACCTATTAATTAACGAGTCAAAGCGAGGGACAATTAACTGGCGCTTATTGGGACTCAATTGTAAACAAAATTAGCGTGACTGATAGTCCAATCATAAAACTTAACACTTCCGCATTACACGGTGATTCCTGGCTGTACTTTTTAAGTGTGGTTAGTTGTTAATGACGTGCGGATGTTGCCTGAACCACTCAGTGGACTTAACAGATTTCTATTAGTTTTGCTAATTTCTAGCACGGTCGTCTGCCAATGGTATCAATATTCCCGCCCATCGGGTGAAATTTACTTTACTGGACATGAAATTTTGCATTGAAGCATAGAATTCCTCACCAATCAGAACGCTCGACGAGCTATAGGTATTCTTAAAGCTACACGGCAACTCATTCGCTGCTCAGATTCTAGGATAACTTAACCCACTACTTAATCAAGGGCAGTGCTAACTACGGTACCTATCATCCACGTGTTTGCTTTTCACGGAATTTATAGAAAGAGCATATAAATCGACATCATGATAAATTGGACATAGAATAAAAGGAAATTAAGGATACTGCTCGATCATTTGTTTAATACGTGGGAAAGATCGTTCCTGTTTTATTTGAAATTGTATACAGTTCGTATCTTTTACTCTGATTGGAAAGGTTTTAAAAACCACATGTCGGCGTACAAACGGTTGCCCATTGGAGATAAATTATTGAAAAGCCTTGCATAGTGGCTTTCAATAGAAAACAATATTGGACAGTATTCGATAGTTATCCAAGCAATGAGGTATTCCATGCTAACGATTGCGTAAGTATTTCGATGCAGATATCATCTGTAACACACTTTGTGGGTTATCTGTGTTTAAAACAAACATATTAAGTGCACCAGTCCCGATTATCAATCCTCCGCAGAGGCGGCGCACACTGTTATTAAGCAACCTGTCAACAGTGTGCTATACCGGTACTGATGCACGCGACTAAACCGTTCCAAGGCTAAGATTTATGGCTAACACACTCACATTAAATTCAACTGCTGCTATAAGCGGTCTAGTTTCATCTCGTATTTTCTTTCTTTCGTTTACAGGTTATTCCATTGCGTTATTGTTCTATCAATACAGGTGAGTTCCTGATTTATTTACTAGTACTCTTTAATTAGATCTTGGTAAATATAAATAGAGGCATGTTTTGACCCCTGTTCACCACCCTCTTGACAGGACCGTTGTATTCGAAATTTCAAACCATAAATCATATCAAGTTGCAATAACCATACACTAACACTACCGGCTGCCTGTCAGGTTGCACAGAATTATACATCCTTGGTTCCAAGATGCCGACCAAACCCTGACGAAATCAAAGGTTCTTGTACATTGAAATTGGCAACTTCGCGTTTAATTCAAAATCAGTGCAAGGTGGTACAAAAATGATAGGGGCTTTAGACAGATAGAATTGCGCAATACACTGATGTTTCAACCTCGTTAACACGACTAGATATTTTGAGTGTGTGAAACGTCATATCCCAGGCGATAATTCGGTGATAATTTGTGAAAAGACTGTCCTTAACCGCACTGTCCACACGTAGCAGGGGACCTCTACTCTGTTTTGTTATTTGAAGCACCTAAACAAAAACCTGGATTCCACTACACAATATACTTGTTAACTCTAGTCGCTTTCCTTCAGGTGTCCTGTTTATAACTTGCCGCTTTCTGTGCTTCCATTCACTTCATGATTAAACAATCGGTCATTAAATCATGCAGGTACATTTTATGTACACTCAATGGTTTAGCTAATAGGCCCATTGTACCATGAACCCAACACCATTCGACACGTAAACCAGATCAAACTTTGTACCGATCGAGTATGACATGAGGTCGACCTTTTCGAATGTTTCTTTTCATTTTATTTCCGAATACTTAACTTAAGTGATTGTGTAAATGTACCTAGGGCCTGTGCATTCGTCTTATCTGTTAATACATAACGTTTCAAACGGTATATTGTCGCTGGTTCTGGTACTATTATCAATTCCTGAATCACATTTTGTCCCGTAGCCTATTCGCTTAATCGGGCCGCAAATTATCAGCCAAACATTTTGAACACTTTTTGCAAATGGGTTTCTCCACGTTCAAAAGCAGACTAAACCAGAGCTTAAACTTTATTGTTGGCGTAATTACCACAAGCCTTGTACACTAACCACCAGTATCGACAATTGTTGACAGGTATTTGTATCTAATAACAATAGTAATTATTATTATCTACGATAGGCCTATACTGTTGGAGAGCTGACAAACACGCGCAAATAAAAACACAAAGATAAGTACCTTAGTACCGTATGCATCGCGTCAGCAGGACCGGTACTATAATTTTAGATCACAGGCCTATTTCAGGACGATGGATCATGGGTAGGTAGGGTCTGATATCTCCTAAAGGTTCAGAGAGCAAAGTGTACAAAGATTCAATGACTTTTCAATTTATGATGTAGGTCTGTGTGTTTAAAAGTGTGCTGCTAAACTGAACGAATATTCTTTCTCATTCTGAACACAGTGGTATAAAGATAGCCCAGTTTCTTGTTAGTGTTCAATTTATACTAGTTACAGTATATTCTTCTCAGCCTAAAGAAACCACTAATACGGTCAGTCTAGACAAGCCCAAGTCATTATAATGATAATAAATAAGTCCTAAATCAACAGGTGACACAGTGTCCATTTATTGTGATATTCCAATGAGTCGTGAATCGTACTGATATCAGATTTTACAGGCGTGATTACGTTGCGAAAAAAAAATGCTCGCAGAAGTTACCAATCCTTTTACAAATCGCTGACATTTGAAATAGACCTAAGTCATTAGCCACGATAGGTCAACAATTCAGAGTTTTCGATCAATCCCTAAGGACAGGCAGCATGTTCGTCACCACCCCAGGGGATTATGGTACCCCCTTTTTCGTTCGCATGCCTTATATTGATACAAAGGTTCTATTTGGAATTGGGGACCAATAAGAACCCTTCCACGCAGAGCCGTATATGATGCTATCAAGATACTGGTACTGTTTGACTTTATTAGCCAATAAAGTTTTTATAAAATCATACCAGTACGATTCGGAAAGCCAGGATTTACTTCACGATAGCAGCCAGAAAAAGATATTTCACACTCAGGGCATAATTAGGCCTTATTACCCTAAGCTTTACATTCCATCTCTATCATGGTTTTATATCATTCGATTACAGGTTACGCACCAACGTGTCATAGGGGATGCTGTACAGCCAGAGTCTAACGCAAATCGATCGGGGAAAAGGTTATTAATTTATAGCACGATGAGTTACAATTTTTTGCGAATTGCAGGCAAAAAGAATATAACAGCTTCTGCTAAAGCCACTGATCCTTATGGTAAGTAGTCGGTGCCTTTATAATCTGTCAGATAAAATGTCTGTTGTCAATTTGTAAAATTTAAATAAAATTGCAATATCAAGATATAATGATGATGATGATGATGATAATAATTATAATAATAACAATAATAATTATAATAATAATAATGATTACAATAATATAATAATATTAATATATAATAATAGGCCTATGAATATATTACGAAGATATTAGTCTATACTGTAATTATAAATACAAGACTTTATTTTGAGCTTAATATATGTATAGGCCTACATATTATATGTTTATACAAACATATATGGGCCTATGCCTACATATTATATATACATATTTACAATTTACGTGTAAGTTATTATATATATATATGCACCGTAAATATAAATACAAGACTTTATTTAGGGCTTAATATATGTATACATATTAATACACATCTAGATGTGTATAAGAGACAGTATATATATATATATATATATAAGCAAGATAGTTCATAAGATAAACGGAAAAAATGCTCATTTAATTTAATAAATGCCTGGTACACAATAATTCCATTTTTTGTTTACAATTTACAATTTTGTTTGTCAATGTAGCATCCCAATTATATATTTATATTGAATTATATATGTACTTCCTTACGTAATAATTACATGTGTGTTAATTACAGTCAAATAATGTGATGCAATTTATCTGTGTGAACGAAGGTTATCGTTGGCTTGTGTTCACACGTTTTCTTCACATGAGAACCATGATAACAGGTGTTAATCTTTCGATTTCGTAAGATGTTTTGCAGTTATGAATGTGAAATATGTAAGATCAATCAGAATCATAATAGACGACCGCCTTACAAATTGTGTTTACTTTAAGTCTTCTTCGTATCCAGCTTGTGTTTGACCTGTTCAAGTAGATTCTAAGTCATTAACTTAGTGACTTACTTTGATACTTAAGTAAACAAGAAACAAGACACTCCACGAGTACTTCATTTAAAGCAAGGGAGAAAACGTGCTTAACAAAATGAATCTACTGTTTGATCTGTTAACGTGGGCCACATTACATATACGATATGTAGCAGTCCTATAATCGTTATACCGACAGTACTGCACTGTTCCCTCTAACGGACATAGTTACCCAAAAAAGAAACAAAAAAGAAACAGATTGTCGAACTAGAAATAACACGATGCTACAACAACAATACCCCAGGATACCTGTACGTGGACCTCTCAGCTCGATTGGGCGCATGGATAAAACGTTTGCGGGCCCCGCGATACCGCTGTACGACCTCCTTGCGAATCAACACTGCTAATTAATTTCTTTTACTGAGTAGCCTCACTCACGACAGTTCCATTAGCAAACTCAGCTGGAAGAGAATAGGATATTTAAAACTTTCACTACCACCACGCCTGGAATTTAAAGTGTGATTCCCGTCTTTTCACGTCATTTTCTCGCGTAAAATGTATTAGGGTATACGTCAAATTCGCATGCGCATTATGTGTACATCGGTCATTGAGTGGGTCTCTATAGTAGGACTATGAGACCGCACCCTATATCAAAATATATGTGGGAGGTGGTAGGGTGGCTAGAGGGGTGAATATCCACAACGAAGACGTCTCACGGGACGCCGCTTTAAGCCACCGATTCTTATATGGAAGCTATGGCATTGTCAAATCGTGTGGAGCGATAGGCCAGTACGGTATACTTTAATACGATACAGAAATTTAAGAATATTTAAAATTACATTTATGCGTGTTACAATACACTGGCCAATCGAGTATGTACATTGTAAAGTATATGATACATTACAGAGAAATTTGATATTCATATTAATGTAATCACTAATACTTGATTATTAAAATACTTTCCATGTCGGAGTGGTTTATAAAACTTTTTGTAAACACGTATTTATAACATAGTGGCATTTCATTGTGTATAGGCCTTAATTATGCATAAAGTAATCATCGGCACTTGGGGAAATTTCCCCCGTTAACTTCGGTTCAGGGGAAAGCCAAGGTGAGGAGCAGTCGACTTCATTGAAGCGATCGGTTATTGTCTCAAACGATATTGTATAGTAATAATAATATCTGGAGCATAGCCAAGTACCACGTTAGGCGTAAAGCCATTTAGGAAGCCAGAGAGAGAGAGAGAGCATGCATCAAAATCAGGGAGGCATTGAAAAGAAATACACATAGGCCTATATACACAATATAACCGCAGATAACATGTTTGTAACTAACCCTAATACACATCTTATAGGGCCGGGCCTATTGACGTATAAAATGCAGTACTGGGACGTATGGCCCTAGGCCTACCAAAATACATAAAGAATTTTGAATGACTTCTGTAGTAGGCCTAATAGGTGAAATCGTATGAGGTATTGGCCTACACTTTGTGAACTCCTTTTCTATATCTATTTTCTTTAGTTTAATTTAGTTTATTCTAAAAAAGTGTCTGAATATTAGCAAGTCCAAAACATGTCTTCCTTTTAGTTACCTATACTGACACGAGAATCACTTTTGCAATTATTTTGAGTTCTTCTCAACCTAGTTGAAGATAATGACTCAGTTACATCTTCGTGAACTTGTCTAGGAAACTGTTAAATTACTTATTATTGTAAAGTGCGCAAAACATACAAAGCATTCTGGATAGGCATAGGAAGTTTTTGGGATTCAATTTGGATTAATAGTTTACTTGTTCCTTCCTTCAAAATTCTGAAATTACTGGCCTTTGAAAACACAGTATGTTATTGAGGATATTATGTGTCATCATTAGTTATCACAGGCGATCAATTTGTTTACTGTATATTTCGACAAGTTAGACCGAAACCGATTTACTCGAGCTACAGATGTTCACGAAACGACTATAGTTGTTCTTCTTTAAATCTAGTACATAAATGCTGACTGAAAGCAGATCAAAAATGGATTTCGAAGAAACATGCCAGATATGCTAATAAGCATAATATCATGTTGTTAAAATTACGATACAGTGGCGTTTGTTCGGCCTCCCTCACCAGGAAACACTAGCCTACAGTATCCCATACCTGGGTGGTTTGATACATCAATATTGTTTCCTATAGCTCTGTTACTCCATGGTTATATCCAGTCACAGATTCACTCATGAACCGACTGACCTCGGAATAAATGGAATAAGAAAATGAGGGAACTAATCGGTTTATGTGAATTCATTATTATTGCGAATCAGCATAAACGTGCTTGATAATAATTCGAATGGGTACTTTGTAATATGAGATCGGTCTTTCAATCGGAACGCGTTCTCTCTGATTATACTTTAACTCGAAACGATCGCCAGAATTCCGGAAAATTGGCCAATAATTCATCTTATTGAAATCCCTATTACAAAGATTACATTTAGTTGAGAGGGTAACTCTTCGATCCGTGGAAAGACTTTCTTTTATATTCTGAATACTATTATTATTTTTAAATCCCTCTGTATCACGGTATTTCATTTCCATCATATCATATCAATTAAAGGTGCATGCATGCTTAAGAACAATCTAATTCGGTTCAAAATCGTCTGATTTGTTTTTATATTCTTTATAATTAAATTAATGCGTTTTAATTCTGCCACACGTGTTCTTTATGGCTAATAAGTCCAATATAGGGAAGTTTAGCCTAGGAAAGTGCTGACGTCATTATTTTACGCGTATCTTTACTTAGTCTGTGGGCTTATACGGTACTTTATATTGCCTTACTCGTATTAAGTATTAAGTCTGGATTTGTGACAATCGTTATCAATATATTGTTTACAGACTGTGATGTGTTAGAAACTAAACTACGCCGTATAACAATATATTTTCTCAAAGGTAAATGTTTATAAGTACATAGTTATATTCCGCCTGCAGCGTGTGTCGACCTCAAAGTATGGCGCAAATTCACGAGCAATGGTACTGAGAATTGTAGTAGTGGAGAGCGTATTGTGAATAGTATAGAACTGTAAATATATGGCAGTGAACTTGTTAAATACATTTGTATTACTGTAGGTCACTGTATATTTCAAAAGCAAATTGACCTCAAAATACGAGTAGAATCTATTATTAGGCCTAAATATTGCAGTGTATACAATTTAGGTTGTAACACGTCAATTCCTTGCTTATGATAACTCGTGTCCCTCACCACGGCCTCGGAGCAGTTTAACTCCTTCTTACGATTTAATGCGTTTTAAATTAAACAGAATCTACAGCTAAAGAACTTGAAAGTTCTTTTTATAAAGAAAAATATTCCAACTAATTAACACTAATACAAAGATATAACGAGCTGCTGATGTTCATTATAAGCCTCGGCCTTCGTGTCATCGGCTGCAAGGCCTCTTTCACAATATCATTACTCAGGGTGGGAAGTGCGAAACATTGTATGGGCCCAAATCTTGATGGCTTTACATTGCAGTTCATTTATGGAAAGAAAACCTCTTAGGGGTAGAAGGGCTCGGCCAGGGAGTACGATAGACGATCTAATAGTTACCATGTTCAATTCAATTAACTATGATCTTTTTACAAGAGCAAAAACAAAGTCCACTTATTACGATCTGATCCGATTTCCTATAGTATTTGTATTGTCATCAGGTTGACGTGTTGACCATTTCACTCGGCAATAAACTTCTAATGAAGTTAAAATACAAGGGCTCTTACAGCATCTAATACTCCCAGTGTCTTAGACAATACAATCAGGTTAGAATAGCAACCATTCCAAATACTCTTACAAAGCACCGGCTTACGGACAATCTAACAGTGGAATTATCCGTCCGTTTCAGTGTACCATACTTAGTTGGTTTTTATTCAGTCAATCGATTCACTTCAAAGTACAACGACGGATAAGTGCAAACAAAATCGGCTGAAGACTCACATTTTTTGTTTCCCATTGAAATACACTTAATTTGAGCACTCGACTTAAATAATGGCACTTAAATAATGTATATTTTTGGGTAAACGTTGTTTTTCACATTTGGGAGTCACCTCGTTCAGAGGCCTACATCAAGCATGTCATAGCTCCTTATCGATTTGGCTCACATAAACGCGTTTGTTTTTTATTCGTTTTCTTTTAAATGTATCAGAACTAGGTATACTAAGTAGATTTCTTCTTAGGCGAGTTACTTGAATATTCCGTCTTGGAACAATTTAAGGATAGGACTATATGCCCTCGGAATAGTCCTAGCTTAATAAACTAAATTTATCCATCACAAAAATACCCGTTACGATATTGCGCAGCTGAGGTTTAACCGATTGAAATATAGGAATGCATGATAAAGCACTCTACGCATTATGACTAAAATCAACCAAATTAAGCAAACGGATTCCACAAATTAGGTATTTAATATGAAATTAAACAGTTAGACTATATCGTGGCGGATTGCCGTTCAACCCCAATATTCAATTCACACCATCCGAGGACAATATTGCAGGTAGAAGAATATGAAACTATCGCACAGTAAGCATAATGCGTTAAGTCTAGCCATATAAGTGATCTGTAAGGGAATCCATCTGTAAAGACCCTTGTTTAAAGTACATTATAAGGTCTTCAAAATTTAGTGTTAGGTTAGGCCTACTCTTTATTATTCGGTATAAATATTAAAATCTTGCCTTATGACTCGACTGTCTCGTTATTCCCCCTTTGTTATCTCCAGAAATTCCTCAAAGGAAATGAATGAAACAAATAAATAAAAGATATGAATAAAGTAAAGTAAAGTGCACATGGTATGGAATATCGTACGGTACTTGGTCACACGATAGTTAAATCTACCCGATACAGCTTCGTCTTGGTCACACGATGGCTAAGAGTATTATTTTTTTATGTTAATGTTTTTTAAATCCACCCGATACAGCTTCAGTGTCGTTTAAAATGCTTATGACATTTGGAAGTCTGATTAAAAACTATAGTTAAGCAGCTGTTATTCTGGCTTCAGCACGCACTAATATTGTTAACACTTGTATGATGAACTTATAACCAAATTAATTCATTCTAGAAATTGAACTTTTTTGCATTATTTTACAAATAAAGTTCGTTCTTCTCACCTTTTACAATCACAAATGGTTATAAAGCATTATCAATTTAAACCATCCCTATTTCCGTTTTATTTATTTAAACAATGAATTAACTAATTCCTATATCTATAGGGGTAGTGTAGTACCGTATCTCATCTTGTATAAAGATTAGAAAAGGCTCTTGTGACTCACTTTAAATGCATTTATTTACGGATGTGAGTCACTTTTTGGAAAGGCCCTAGGTGAATCCACATTGTAACTAAAACACCGTGAAAACTTTACAGTTGCTGGTAGGCTATAACCTCTGCATGATAAATTAATGTGATTATAAAATGTTGTAGGGGGACGTAATAACATATCGTTATTGAGGGCGTATCCCCATACTTCGGTTTGGGTGCTGGCATGGTATTCAAATTTCACTTCTTTTTATTTTGTGGTTTTGGTTTCCGTTCCATCTTTACACTTGCCTGATAGCGCTTAGAGACTTTTTGTATTTTGCGCTCTATAAATTAATAACCATTAACCATTAACCATATCATTACATATTTCATCTCGAGAGAATTGTTTTAAATTTTAGAATTTTACATTTTCTTGGCTGCTTCATTACAGAAGGTCCCAGTGGGACTCGGGAAGACCTCTCATATTATAAGAGATTAAGTCTAATTCAGCGCTCATTAAGTAAAAATGTTGATCCGAAACTTGTATTGTCCTTCCTGAGTGGATGTTTTTTAAGACGTTAACGAGGGAGGTCATCGAAGTAGTAATTAACAAGACGGCAATCAGATATAATTAAGTGCAACCTGCTTATACCAATTTGAAGTGTATAGGCCTAGAATAAATTAGACAAATTACTCGATACAGCCCACCCAAAACTGACAAGAAAGCACTAAATGCCTTTAAATGAGCTTATGTGTAATTAACCCCGGTAAGGAAATTTTTAAGTTCAATTGTTTCCAACGTATCGATTGAATTAATTTGCAACATTTGATTTCTATTTTACAGTTAAAGTTCATTAGCGGTCATTTGTTTAAGTAGTTCAATGGAAAGTTTACATCGGTTCCCCATCGTGAAATGCACAAAAAGCCTGACTGTGTTCAAATTTCTTCTAGGCCTATTTAAGCTATCATTATGTTCCAACAATTTGAAACGGTGCCATACAAACTAATGTATCTCAGCTTTTAACAAGTTTTCTTAAAGTTGGGTTTGTTTTGCTTGGCACGATGGTCCGATCGTATCATAAGGCATAGCCATAATTGTATCAAACGTTGACAGTATCAACCTACAGTCAGTTAAAATTAACATGCTTTTCCATTTCCCATATCTGTAAAATCTCAATACATTTTTTTACCGAGGATAACCGAGGGCCGTGTGGAATGTATATCCAGGGAGGTTTATTTACCCCACACGTCATCAAGTTTGTGATCTATTTAGGGCCTATTGATTCCTGAGCGGCCTATTTTATTACCCATTTCATGCCGGAAATATGAAATTGCACAAAATGTTTCTGAACCCGATGCCGCTCAATTGCCAATGACACAGCTACTGTGGACACAAACGTTAACCCTGGTATATCCTCAGAGACACCATCCTGCCTGGTCTAGTTTACGGTACACGTGTTCGGGTTTATGGACCACGGTCCTAGCCAAACCGTGCTCTCTCAAAAGGTCGTTCGATACATCTACGATATGGCTTTAGGTCTAAATTTACGCCATCAACGCTTAAAAAATAAAATGATAAACTAGTTGTAGTTCAACTATATTGTATCCAAGTATTTGTATTCACATTATTATTTTTTTACAATTTTATATGACACAAGATATCCAGAAGAATCATTGTGTATCGGTTGGTGATGGTCACATAGTCTAAGTAACGATACTGTAGTCGTTATGATGTGCAGGTACTTGCACCGTTGAATAGGTCTATTGGTTAACGGGAGTAGAGTGTTAGCATTGGTGTGAAATAATTTTGTATGTTTTAGATTTTAAGTTGATCTATTGAATGTATCTACCGGTGTGAAACATAAACACAAACGAAGCCTTGGCAAGACGAACAATGAACATCATCGGTTCATTTGTTTTGACATTTTTACAGTCTAGAATAATTTTGTTTGCCACAGCATATTAATCCTCAAACATCTGAGCCAACCTAATGAGCGGAAAACGGATCCCTCCCAAAGCTATATGTTATATGGGTGAAATTCATAACGCTGTTCCCCTTAATTAGCCGATAAGCACGTTATTATACCGATCAACACACAAATACGATGACCTCAAACCCATTCGTGTAAATATCATTGGACAACAGAGGAAACACACAGTGTTACAATTGACTGCTTTATTCAAATTCATCAGGTAAACGTAATGTACAGCTACTCACAATAGTTTGTCCTGATATTACACTATTTGACTCTTGTAAAATCAAGCTAGCATGAGAAGCAGTGTTAGATTTTGCAAAGTTAGCTCTGTCGATCGTATTGTGATAGCTTCCGTCTGCAGGCGCACGTATTTAGGACCTAGAAAAGGCAATATTTTCAACTGACTCACGATGGAATTTATGGGTAAAATATAGTTAATAAGAGGTCATCATTCTACACAGTTATACATATGTATAATAAACCGAATTTAGTCTTTTGTATATCTGATATCATAAACTCGATTCCAGGCTTTTGTTAAAGTTTAAATATAGGCGCAGGTCGTTTTCCTTGTGATGAGCTAATAAAATCAAACAAATAATCACAATAACCGTGATTTGATCGATGTAAAGCCTAAAGCCATCCTAAAATTATGTTACCTGACTGGGATACATCTATTCGAACTTCCTGAAACCAATCGAATCAACCGCGGCCTCGTTTGCAAACCATTTCAATACAAACTGTAGTCGAACGATCGAAGACACCGTTAGTAATGTAAAATACCAAACTATAAATTAATCTAATTAAATTCTTGAGTTTGAAATCAAATGTTATCAGTTGAAATCTAATCGGTATTTAAGATCTCTGATTGTGCAAAAATGTATTTTTGCTACTATTAGTATTAGCATACTTTTGTGGGGTGGTGAATATTCTGTAATATCTATTGAGTTTTTCCTAATTGTTACAAACTGTTGAGTTGTTTGTACTGAGGTGGCCCAGGGCGGAGATTTTGGTGTGCTTTTTTATTTACAAGCCTAGTTATTAATGCTACGCTGATTAGGTATTTCAAAAGTTCAAGGAAACAGTGATAAAACATGGTGCATTGAATTTGGGCAAACACTCCTCGATTTCGAGCTATTATTCCGCTCATTTGAAAAATCCTTGCAAACTTCTCACAAAATTGACAAAATCCGTGGCATATTTTTGGTATATTATTTTTTGGACCTAGTTTCGGTACTTCAAGCATGCTTCAATTACTTTCATTGTGATCATAGGCCTAAAGTCCAGAGTTTAGAGTGACGTCACAGGGAGTGTGAAGCTCATCACGATTTGACCCTTGTCCTCCTTTCTTTTTATTGTACATCATTGTCCTTATACACTTATATACTATCTGTGAGTTAAACACGATGGTTGCGTCAGGGGCAATCGCGTCGTAGAATAGCCTATTAAACATGTTAAATTTTTTAAAGACCGTTCCCGGCGATGAATCGCTTCGGGAACTGCGTCGTACGACGCTCTCTGAGTTGGCCTTTAGACCTACTTAACGAATTATTAGTTCAAAAAAAAAATGAGAACAATACGCATAAATAATGCCTATGTGCAATTAATTAATTTTAATTGTTTGTGCAGGTTTCTCGAACGTGGAATACTTATATAAATATATTTTTTTATACGGTAATGATTTACGTTTCATTTTCTCCCCACATTAACATATCGGCAATATGTGCTTATACGTTCATTTTGTTTTTATCATTACAGCAGTAGTAATTACCAACACTGTAAAAGAAGGTTTAACGATAATGGGTGAAAAAAGTCACCTATATCTATGTATCCTAAGCAAAAACGGAAAAATGATTGCAATGGTAGGTTGTATATCGTTACTGTAGGCCTAAAAGATTTTTGATCAAAATTAGACCTGCAATAGTTAGGCATATTTCAAATATTGGTAATTATGACTATAGAAACAGATTGTCTATATAGGGCCTAATTTATTTATCATACTAATATAGGTTACGTCACTCAAATTATTTCGTCTTTTTATTTTGCAGAGTTCGCCTACATCAAGCACCGATAGATATTATTGTTATTTCAGAGAAGATGTAAGCCAAAATGACCGTACTACGTACGAGCTCGCAAAAAGGCCAGATTGGAGTTTAATCTTTTCAAAAGACGGCAGCCCAAGGCGAGCCTATAGCAAAAGAGACAATAAAAAGACTGGATTTATGAAACTACCGGTAACAACAAATGGTAACCAGAGGTGAAAGAGCATGTTGTTAACTCATCTTTGATGAGTGGGACGCGACAGAAATTGTTCAAATGTATAAATTGATGTAATTTTTATATGAAATGAATAAGTTATATTATAAATTATCGACTTCCAAGAAGACTTATATTTATATATTGTAACGTAACATTATGTGAATTGGAACTGAGCCAGGCGTACTTGACAACATGACAACCCAGGAAGCGATTCAAGGGAAATGCTCTGTACAATTACTACGATGTTGACGCGAATACCTTCAAGAGAACAAACGTGGTAGAAGGAAAATTCGGACGAAAATATAGAAAAACGTCCAACAGGTGTGTCAACACTAACATTAACAGCACCTCGAACGCGTCATTCACGCGTCGCACGTGTCGTCATTTTCATTGACGTAAGGTCAACTGGACCAAGTGCAACCGCGTGCGTTTTGCCACGCCTAGTCATTGGCAGAAGTTTCAAAATGTTAGTCAAGTTCTCTGATTAAGAGAATGATTGGTGACTACGCAGGTCTATTGAGCCAACCTCGCCCGTGTACGATTGCCTTGGCAGCGTGTTGGTGTCAATGATCCAACTCAATGTAACGACTGTACTTTATATGTGTTTCTTATCAAAATCATAATAGTCTTTATCTATAATTTAAAAACACATGAATTGAAACGACTCAGGATTTATTCCTTCGAATGTTAAGGTATAACCTAATGTCAACCTAGGCACTTACCGAGCACTACGTTCTCGGCCTAAACAGTGGTTAGGTATTGATAAATATATATCAGCGAGCATAACATTTTAGACCAACTGGAAGGCTTAATCTTTCGCATTGTTGATATTTATAGTGCTGTGGAAGACGGAGGAGATATGAATTGAGATAGAAAAATATTTTTGTATTTATTCAAAGATTAGCTAATGTAATTCAACTTTTCTTTGTAAATGATTATGAGAAATAAGACAGATAGGCCTTTTTCCATATTTCTTATGAAAAAAATATACAGAAACACTATCTACCGAAAAAGTATTACGTCGTATTCGTGTGACGTCATGACGCGCTACGAAATGATTTACGTCACATCCAATTTATGACGAAATATGAAATAATGACATCACACAATACGACTTTATAGGCCTACATAAGACGTAGTTTATATTATATACCGTATCTATATGTCGCGAGTTAATATTGAATTGAAAACCCAGTTATATTATTCAAGCTACACGTATCAGTCCCGTTTGTATTCATAGACCGTTGTTTATATTATCTGCCATCAATTCTATTCTATTGTTGCAATGTTAAGTTGCTTTCTTACGACCTATTGCCCAGAACACGCGCACAATCTTTTAAGCTCGGTTTACACGATTTTTAATTTCAAAATCCCTGCACACACTACTAGCACGCTTCATAAAAACACAAGAGCCGGCTATTTCATCACTACTGCCGCATTTTCTTCTTTCGAAAAAGCTGAGCTGCATCGTAGCTCGTGATGCCGCGTCAGCAAGCTTTTACAAACATGTACAGTATTTCTAATGTGTTCATTGTAATCGGTTTACACTAAAAATCATGGAAGACTGCGTCTAAATTACTATAGTGTAAATCAAGCTTAAAAGTCAGTGTCGGATTCTGGAATTCGAAATAGTGGGGACGGGGTCCAGGAAATATTAATTTTACCATGGGTGAGGATGAGGTCTGAAATCGTATGGCTATTGCATCTCTCCAGATTGCCTGAAACGGTACTCTCAGAATCTGAATGTAATAGGCCTATTATTTTTTCTGCATTCAAGTTTTCACAAATGAGGGGGGGGGGAGCGGGGATTGAATCTTCCCCTGATATCATCTAGAATGTGATTACGTGCTGCAGGACAGTACATCGCAGGACAGAGGTGACTGGACTATTTATGCGTATTAAAACAGGCCTACAACGAATGGTCGTGAGCAAGCAACGATAAATATAAAATAACAGATTAGATTTGGAGATCAGAATATTGTAACAAAATATAAATTGATCGTTACTAGTTGCAATGTTTCAAGACTATATATGGTCGTTAAAGTTTCATATAGGCCTCTGTACTGAGAATTGGTATCTCATAATTATTTTAAAACTATGAAAACACGATGAGGTCTGTGTCGTGCCACGTTTAATATTGCAGGAATTTTTATGGGCTGCGCAACAGGGTATTTTGGTTATGTTTTTTTTTTACAGTGAGGGTGTCAAAGGCCTATACAACATAAAGTCAATTGTCCTTTATTGTTATCATCAGTTTACATTAGTGACTGACGACAATCGTTTACAAAATTGATATAATAGTTTTCTACTATTATTCATTATTGTTAGGCCAGTCATCAGTATTTATTTATTCTTATTATTAGCAATACTGTTATCAATGCCTATCTAATTACTTTTAGCTTATTGGGTATAAAAACTGTTATTATTAATATTATTATATTTATATGTATTATTTATTATTACTATTATTTATTGTATGTATTATTATCAATTAATAATATTGTTATTAATATTGATAATAATGATATTAATATTAATATTGTTATAACAATGACATTATTGTTATTTCTATTATATTATTATTATTATTATTCTTATTAATTCAATATTAACATTTCCAATTAAATCAGGACAAACCTCCATGGACAAACAGAGTATTCTTATTCACATACCGTAGGCCTATATTGCATCTCGATATGTGCGATGCACTATGAATCGATTATATAAAATGCACATTTAAAAATGTCACAAATTACCATAAACAACTCTATATAGGCCTATCATAGCTGTTTTAATTGTTTTATTAGGCACTTTACTCGAGAGGATGGGGAGACGTCGGCAACGGCGATTCTGGTAAATTAAAGCGCCCTAGTGTTTATTGTGGTCTTCACGCTCTGATGAGCACAAAACCACCGTCCACCCGTGTACCCGTCCTGTTGCGTAAAGTGCCTACTAATACTATGAAGCATACCAGTATAAGAATGTGTAGGCCTGCTAAAATCAAAGCTCGGGACAGGTCTATTTGTGTACACACGATCACTGACAGTCTGATGCCTGTTTCTATAACTAGGGAGTTTTAATTCACATTGAATAGTTATAATAAGACAAATATTATATAATATCATTTAACTTCCACTCAAGGTGAAAGGTCGAACGAGACTGTTTACCGTTACTTGATACGTTGTCAAAACAAATAAACTTGAATCATGCCTATTTTGTAAGTTTTTTAGTTTGCCGTGTTTTTTTCCGACTCGTACATGAATATTCATGAGCTATTGTGTGAAGAACGTACACAGAATAACAGTTTACCAAGCACCTTAATTAATTATCACCATGGTCATTAACATTATTAAAATCGTAGTCACTATCTTCACCAAAATATATAAATTATTAAGGCCCAGACACCCTATGATTATGATTATTATTTTAATGACATATGATTACAATGAAGAATAGGCCTACAATATAATGAGGCATAAGGTACCGGAATGACGAGGATGATGATGATGATGATACTTGTGAGGATGATGATGATAATGACACTGATAATGATACATGACAACGATATAACAATAATATAAGTAATTATTATGGTAGAGATAAAAGAAATGTTATTAGAAACGTGTGTGCAAAGAACAGTTGATGGATTATTAAATTTAATATAAGTAATAAAATATAAATAGGCCTACGTGTCTCAGGCAAAGTAGTATTCTATAAAGTTCGTTTCTTTTATTTATTTATTGATACCATAAATGGCTACGTGGAACCACTTCAATGTCATCGTGTACAGTAATATGAATTTATATAAGAGTACCGTAGGTCCATACATACAAAACATAGGCCTAGGCCTACATACGCATTTAATAAGCAGGTCCCCAAGTAACACATTGAATTATAACACTTTTTATTTTCTCTCTTAACTTTCTTGTTTAGACCTTTACTACATCTTTACAAACGCTTGAAGGGTCCGTGATCATTCTTCATTTTGCGTACACATAAAGACAGTCCCCCTATAGTTAGCCAACTATCTGGCGTTCTACCCCTATGCTCTTTTGCTGGGATCACCCACCTTTATTTGTCCTATTTTTTATGGTTTTCAATTTTACTTTTTTCTCATATTGTACAATGTTTTATAATTGTTTACAATATAAAACAAAATTAAAAGAAAAAAAGAAATAGCATTTTATAGTTTTTTTGTTGTTGAGAAAATCGCACATTTCCCGTAATATCACCACTTTACATAACCACATTTACCCATTCACTAAACTATTTTGTTTTCCTCCTTTCTCTCATTTTCAATAACCTTAATGAACGTATCTTGTATCTTTACCTAGCCATTCTCTACGTTCTACAATCTTTCATTCTCTGTTTAATTTTTTAACAAATTTTCATTATTACTAAATTTTATTTTTTTTATTTTTTATTTTTTTTACATTTTCTATTATATGCTTATGGATGTACATCGCCTATCTCTTAATGTTGGCAGATACACAATAATTTCAAGTTCAAAGTTTACAATAAAGTAAAGAAAAAATATTAAAGCAAATTAATTGAATCTATTACATGCAGCTTTTTCTCATAAGAGGTATAGTACATTTTTCTACGTTCAGTTTTCATATCAATTATTTTCCTTTACTTTTCTAGTCCTGTGCTAACGAAACATTTAACGAAGTTATTTTCATTCGTTTCGTTCGTGTGGCCAATTGATATGACTGCTCCCTTGTGTTTTTCCACTCACTGTATATAGTAGGCCTAAGTATGTGTAATTATTCAATAGTATAGATTTTAATATCTCTCCAGCGACTTGCCCTTGACAATCACCTATCGGTTTTTACATTACATCCCAGAGCTCTTAATATCTCTAAATATTTTATCCGTAATTTTTACTTAAGAGGCTCGTTATATGTAGGAAGTTGTTGTTATAGAAAGTCGGAAGTCGATAGGTTTAAATACCTCATTGAGAAGTCCCCGAGTGTGGTTTTCATTTGACAGCTCGCATCTCTACTCAATAAATCACCTATATTATGGCGTATAATAAGTTTAAAGATTTATCACAGGCTGTTTCTTAGCGGCATGGCTACTTTTTTTGAGTACATACTTCAGTTAGGTTACGTACTTAATACTTAAATGTGTTTGGTGCAGCATTGTAGAAGCCCGTTTAGCCCGTTTTAACGATGAATCACTCGCGAAGGCTGATCCGTCTAATACAACGCCGGTGCGTCATTTGCCAAGTTTAGTCAGCGTTCACTTTAAGTACATAATTTAGTAAATCTAGCTAGATTTATGAAGAACAAAAACAAATTAATTTGATGTAGGTATACGGGTCGACAAAGGGGAAACTGAGCGGGATAGACACGAATATGTCAAGGAATAAACCGTATAAACGCCATCTATATAAATAGACTTTAGCTATCAAGTTAAAAATAATAAAAAAAGGCCTATTTTCATTATAATGATAATCATAGGTGATAATCAGCAAAATGCCACAAAACCCGCTCCTCCATAAATGTGATGAAGGAGGTGGTTTGACCCCAGAGGTCATGTAAATTGATCGTTTCCTCCACGAGGTTTTGAAGACGAAAACGAAACATCGTTTATGAAAAAACAAATATTTAAAAGCCTAGACAAACTGCATCCGAATTAAAGTTCACTAGTTGAATAGAAAATAATACAATTAAATAACGGTAATGTATTTAAAAAGTTGTTATTAGGGTAATCAAGATTGTGACACCATACTGATTATGACGTCATAACGATAAAATGATAATGACGTGTTAATGACTAATGTTAGTGTTGTCAGTCTTTATGGAGAGATAATAATGTTAAATGCAAATGATTTCACACGGCGATGAGAATAATTATACACATGAATTGAATAACAAAATGATATATATAAGCTTCTGTAGGCCTGATCCCCACAAGCCCAATATTTTCAAACATAAATTTGGATGGAGGTAACATGCTGGGCCTACATGACTGATACAGCTAGGCCTACTTGGCTACCTTTGTCAAATCTAACCAACAGCCAAAGGTTTAATTCGCAACAAAATAGCATACAGAGTGACAAAATACATAGGCCTATGCCTAAACACAATCAATTATGAATCGATTAAATACTGTAACTGCACAACGGTTATATATATTTATTTCGATTTTAAAAAGACTTAGGGCATAGGCCTATATACAAATATCATCATATGTATTTATGCATACACAAAACATTACATATTAAATGAGGGGAAAATCCCTATTGAAGTTAAAAATATAGGAGGTATAAAGTACATGTAGGCCTATATTACTGCGTGGTCCACGTGAAGTTTATAACTTGTCTCTCATTGGTAGCGTAGATTTGTATGACGGAGAATAGTCTGAATGGTTATGGTTTGTGAAACTAGATAGGCCTACAACTCTTCTATTCCTCAAACATAGGTCTATATAAAAATATAATGTCAATAGACCTAGGGCCTGTTACTGGAGTATATCTATTCACATTTACTATCAATTTATTTACTTTAGTCATTAATTTATAACATCGTATATAAATTGGGATTTCCCCTCTGTGTTTATGTATCCTGGCTGATGTAAAGCATGTATACAAAAAAATATGCAAGTACAAAACAAAATTGTGGTGCGTCCAGGTACATCGATTAATAATAATTAAAAAAAAGTTACCATAAATTTTAAATGCATTACAAAAAATTAATTAACAATTGTATAGTTTACTGTAAAAATGATAGGATGAGGAAATGATGGGGTAAGTTAAGAGGAGTCACACACTTCAAACAACAAATTTGTATAGTGGGAGGGGGATACAATTGACAGTTGGAATTGCCTTGGTGGGGGTCGAATTATCAATATACCATTACCAAACAATTTTGTCTGATATAATATAGGCCTAATCACAATATCTTCCAGGAGAGATGGAAAGTGAAAACAACGTAATAAAACTCTTAAACAAAAAAAGTATTTTGCTTGCAGGGATCAAGGACAGAGGTTCCGGAACATCAGAATATCAGATGAAAGTAAATACACTAACACGTAATTTGAACAAAGAAAATGAAATAAAAATACTTGATGAAATTAAGCCGGTAGATGGGACATTTGACAGCAGAATGCAATCTAACGCGTTGCGCGATGACGCAATGATAAACCTGACACGCAAATACCGTAGGTGTCCAGAAGAACAAAACACTTTGTTGGAACACCTTAAGTATGGGGTATCAATTTGCTTGATTATATGTCTGGCTCCGGTTTGAGTCTTAAGACTCTGAAATGATTCAGTCTTTTCAGATAAAACTAATGCTTTGTACGAGCAAAAGAATACTGATTGTTTGTAGTAATAGATGTCTATCATTAGTTCTGATACAGTCACGGCCGAGTGTTTCACTAAGATTGCTTTTGAACTTGTTTAATGCATAGTACATCTTTGGTTAATGGAAAACAACGGACGGTTTTTACTCTGTATACTCATTGACGTAGAGATTTATATCAATATCGACATCGTTATTAGAGAGAATTCTCAAGTTTTGTTAATGGTCTGTAGTTCTGTTTTCTCACGACAAGTTACTGTGCTGCTATTGTTAAGATACTTTGGATGGCATCCTTATTTCCCAGCATCGTGAACGGATACAGTATTAATATGTCGGCTTAAGCAATTCTTTTATTTACTTAAACATAAACGTCAGTTTAAAGTGTAAAAATGGTTAATACCAGCCATTATAATGGTATTATAATTTGGGATAAATATAATGGTGTTTTTAAAATTATAGGCCTATTTTAATATTCCGATAAAAAATGTAGTAAAAGTGTAATGATACAGTAAAAGTTAAACTATTCTTTTGAGTAAACCAAGAAACCAGATAAACGTATTTGAGCTTAGTATGTATTTTCTCTATGGTCTGATAATAATCATTATTCAATTTATTTAAATTCAAATCTGACTTCTCCCGTGAGAGAGCACGCGGTACGCAGATACAAACAAAATGCATATGTAGAAGTATATAATACAATGAACATATTATGCCTATATTTTATTAAGCAATGTTATGTTTTCAATTCTATGTTGAGCAAAATCATAATTTATGTTTCGACACAAATATAAAAACTTAACAATATCATTTGCACGATCAGATTAATGCATTTAAGATATTACGGGAAGAGAAAGCGATTACCGGTTCACATAGACCTTTGGTTTATGGAATATTATATAGACCAGGAGGCC